ATTGTCATTTTTTCAATTCTTTCATTAAAATGTGTCATATTTACAAGAATTTGCAAACCTGTGATAACAGCACAATGGTTATTAGTTGTATTATTAATACCTTTAATTGTACACTGAAAAACAATTTAACAAAATTAATATTAATTTTTTAAACAATTTCAATAATACATACCTTATTATTTAAGTTACTCATTTTTGTGAGTCTTTTTAACAATGAATAAAACCATTTTCACAAATTGACAACATTTGTTGTCTATGTGTGAATTATATCTGTTTATTCTGTCGACACGTGTCGAAGAGCTGTTTGACATGAGATATATTGGTTATAAAATACGTGTATTTCGTGAACGTTCCCAACGGCGGCCGGTCTTTGCGGGTAAACACTGCTGTCATATTCGGTAAACGCTTTTTCCTCAAACCGGTCGCTATTCGCATTAAAAGATAATTGGCATTCAATGCAATGGTTACATACACTGCGGTATACGAAAGACCAACTGCTCTGGCTTTCCGCTCAGCTGGTAGTGCATCGTCTGAGCGATCAGTTCCGTCACCGATGATAACCAATCGACAAAATTGATACTAATGTCCGATTCGGTGATAATTACTGTTTATCTCTATTCGCCGATTGAGCCGTACTATTGTGGCCATCGTTTCTCGCGGAACCAGTATTTGCTGTTTGTGGCGGAGAAATACATACAAAGTCTGGCAACTCTTTGACGATATAGTGGCGGAACTCTCGACAACAGTTTCAAAGTACTAAAACCGTGAATAGACTGTATAATTCCACGGGCCGTACATAAACAACGTGACTAAACATATTTGAGGACATTATTACGTAAACAAACTTTGGTTTTGTTTGTATTTTTCACATTCACTCTCAAAATGCCATTAAAAACACTTCAACTAACAGTACAGACGACTCGCGATTTAAGTCACAATTAAGGGTTACAGACAAACCATTTGATCCCAAAACAGATCTCAAGACATCACTTTTGTTGACACAGTTTTCTCAATGCAATTATGAACTCAATGTTGCGTTTCGTTTGCAAACCAAACCAGTTTTGGGTGAGTTTTTGGGTCTCAACTCATATTTTGTGACCCCTTTTACCACTACCTCTGAGTTACCATTTCATTATCAACTAATTGTCACCCAAACCACATCCTAATAGGTGTTGAACAATAGGCTAATTAGTCTACTGGACACACATTGTTTGCCGTCGCTGTCATCGATGGCCAACACTCGCCGACACGAGACAACCACCACATCCACCACCAACTCGTCGACCACCACTTCTTCGACCGCCAACACATCGCTGGTCTCATTGGCCGACACTGTGCTGACCAAAGCATACGAGTCCCGCAATCCCGACGTAAGCCATAGCTATACGACCGGCCATTACTTTGTTTGGTCACACGTATCGATGTGTTTGTAATGTTTTACTTCTTGTCTTGTAGTCAGAGCTGATCCGTCTTTGCGACACGTATTACGCGTCCGATAAGGAGACGAAAGACCGGTTGCTATGCTTTATAGCTGACGATCTGGCCGTCCACTCGCCTCAGGCCACCGCCGCTGTCAACAATTTTCTGTCCGCAAAAGTCTGTATATATCTATTGTCTCTCATTGGATCAGATGTTGTGTAACACTTAATGTTTGTTAATGTCCTGATATTCCTTCCCTTCCGCCGTACAGACAGTTCCCGCCGACTCCGAGGACTTTGTGATGTCTGTGGACAAACTGCGGTCACAGTTGCGGCCAAAGTATTACCAACTCTTTAGCCAAATATCACGTCTGGAAAATGGCGTCAAATTCATTGTCGACATGCGTTCAGATCTTCGGGTATGTCTTATCCAATGGCTATAACACGAACTCATTAACTGTTTTATCTTCTTCCTGACCATTGGGAACGATGACCCGAATCGGTGGCGCAAAACAGTCGACACTTAACAGCCCAAACCACGACCGGCTAACGTCCGTAAGGTTGCGATCGCTAAGCAATTATCTCAAAGACCTGCTCGGCCTCTGGTTTTCGGTCGGTTTCTTAAATCTTGAGAGAATTACGTGGAATTCGCCCACTTCTATGCTCCAGAAGGTTAGCGGCCGACCCCTCCCTATACCCCACTCACACACACACTCACACCTATTTGTTTTCTAATTTACCTTAAAATTTAATTATCAATTGATTTATTTTGTAGATCTCTGAGTACGAAGCGGTGCATCCGATGCGCTCGTGGGCTGACCTGAAGCGCCGACTCGGTCTCTACCGCCGGTGTTATGTCTACTCTCACAGTTGCCTTCCATCCGAGCCGCTCGTCATTCTTCACGTGGCCTTAACGCCCACCATATCGTCATCTATTCAAGTGATTGTCTATTGATTATTGTTTGTTTTAAAATTAAATTAATGTGTTTTGCGGTTAAATCGGTAGCATATCATCAAACGGACAGTCCGTACGCCGAGCCTAATGGACGAGAACTTTGTTTCGCTGCCAAAGGACACGTTCGGCGTGAAGGAGGAGTCCAAGGGTCTGGACGCCGCCATTTTCTACTCAATCACTTCCAGTCAAAGAGGTTTATAATACATTTTTGTGTTTAATTATAGTTTTAGTTGTGTTTAGTTATAACTAAAAATTTAGTTCATTATATTTTATGTGTGAATTTTTCATTACGTTTTGTACACAACAGTGTCAACAAAAGTGAATCCAATCTTCATGTCCTTTGCCTCCCCCTTCCCCTCATCACTGCCTGTAGAACCCGTTCCCCTCTCCCGGTGCTCCTCATAGCCGGCGATGCAATCATTTTAATTATTCAATCAATGAGTTTCTCGTTTGTGTTTTTAATTAAAATTTTTCGCTATATTTATCTCTCGATGCCTTTCGACGGCCGAAAAACATGTATTAATTATCTAAAAATATCACATAATTTAAAATTAAATCTCAAAACAACTATAAAAGAGTCGATTGTGTTGTTGTTGTTGTAAATGGAAAGACAATATAATTGGGAAATAATGTTAATTACAAGAGAGTTTGTGACCAAATATGCGGAACGGCATGTATTATATGTCTGCGAAAAATAACTCTTAAAAAAGACAATTAATTGAATTTTTAATTTTTTTAATGCATTTATTGTTTAATTAAGTCATACATAGAGAAAACAAATACCAAAACCTGTCTATGAATTGTATGCCAATGTATTTTCTATGGCATTTAATTATTAATAGATTATGTATTTTTTGTTTTGTTTCAATCATTATATGGATTAAGAGTTTATGTTTTGTTTAGTTATAATTGATTTAATGAATTAATAGGAAGTATTAGGCGTTTATCTTAATATAAATAGCAAAAAGTGTTTTCTTTTAATAACATATAATTAGTTGTGTATTAGTTATGGAAATAATTATACGTTAATTACTTTTTATTAAAAAAAACTAATTGAATAATTGGTTTAATTAAGCGATTAATTTGTGGATTAAATCTATTGATAACTTAATAACATAATGACTCGTATAATCACTTCCAGGTCTTCACGGGATAGAGTTGGGCAACCAATTGATCAAACGAGTGGTACGGGAGTTGCGATCGGAGTTCCCATTGATCTCGCAGTTCTCCACACTGTCACCGGTGCCCAACTTCTCGGAGTACCTCTTGTCTGAGATGCAGGCCATTCAAAATGGCGATCACCAGAAGCAGCGGGCGCTGGTCACCGATGAGGAGTTCCAGAGTTTGAAACGGCACTTCTTCGGCGACTACTCCGATGTGTCGGATGTGTGGCCGCGACTGATGGCACTCATTAAGAGTAACCAATGGGTGGATGACGAGAGGCTGACAGAGCTCTTGCGGGCGCCGTTGATGCGGAAGTGCGCCCATTATCTCTATAATGAGAAACGTCGCGGATATGCCTTGAATTCTGTCGGTTAGTGTCCACTCCATTAGCTTCTTCTTGAGTGCTTGGCTTGTGATGTGTTTTCACAGTTTTTTTGCGATAATTACTGTTATTTTCATATGTTTTGGAAAATGTTTTGTATTGTTTTTGTCAAACATATAGTTTGCAGTGTTTTTATACACTGAATGACTAGTTTTTTTAATTCAACACTTTTTCGATACATGTTTCGCTATTTTCTGATTTAATGTTTGGTTTGTATCTCTATTTATAGCCCATTTTCACAGCCGTAACGGTGCGGTGATGTGGCGGCTGAACTGGTTGGCCGACCTGAGCACTAGGGGTCTGTCCAACTCGTGCGGAATGATGGTTAACTACCGGTACTTCTTGGAGAATATCGACAATAATAGCCATTTGTATACTGAGACCAGACATATAGCGGCAGATAAACAGCTATTGAAATGGGTTCCCAAGCCTTTGAACGCTAAACTATAAACACATGATAACACTGTGTTTGTGATTATGATTGAGATTATTATTGTTACAATATATCTGTTATTATTTTCAGAGCTTTTTATCTATATTTTTAGTGTTATTTTTTTGGTTTATATTTTATGAAAAATGTTTACAAAGTTTTGCGCTTTGATTTTAGTGTCTGTTTTTGTCCGACTTTTTATATAAAGTATTTATTTTATTGAACCGAAAAATAGACATTTAAATATAGTTTTGGATATTTAGTTGTGTATTTATGTATAGAAATTATTGACTGATATATTGTTTTCACACAAAATCTATACACGAATTGTTTGTTTCGATGCCTATAATTGACATTCAGATAGTCGTTATCATTATAGAGACAATTGTATTGGTATTTGATTTTCTTAAACACAGTTTTAGTACAAAAAATTACTACAAAATCGATAACAAATGTGTAGNCCCTATTTATAAATATAATTAAAATAATAAATAGATTTTTCATTAAATTTTTGTATTTTATGGAAAATTTTTAAAAATTATTAATTTTCTAAATAAAGTAAAACTAACGGAGATTTATATAAAATGTATTTAAAACTAAAACTATTTTTAATACTTTTAAAAGTTATTTAAGCGTTTTGTTCGTGTATTTCAAGCTTTAAAAAGTTTCAAATTTATTATTGTTTGTAAAAAATACAAAAATTGCAAACATTTCTCTCGTTTGGACACAAAATAAAAGCAAAAAATAATAAATCTTTCTATTTATATGAAAAACAATAATTTTTACAAAAGAAATTACATTATATTTTTGGCAATAATTTTTTCATTACTCTCTTTTGGCTATGAATTCTATGCGAAAGAATTGTAAATCAAAATAACACAAAAAATAAGGTAATTTTCTCGGAGAAATGTAATCGAGATGTTTTTTCTTATTGTTTCTGTCTCTCATCTGTCAGTGAAATTGTGCGAAAATATTTGATGTATTTTTTGTGTTGATTTCAATCCCAATTTCATCATCGCTTCAATGGATTTGTCGTTTTGAGTGAAAGTAACCGAAACTTTCATATGATTTCTTTGAAAATCTCTCTCTCTCTCTCTCTCTCTCTCTCTCTCTCTCTCTCTCTCGCATAGGATTCTCATAACTTCTAATAGTTTTATGAATATTTCAAGATATATACAAAATATATAGATTTTATACTATAAATAGTTATGCAAATTGTGTACACAATTGACAACTATATTATGCATACAATTATCAAATACTTCCCGAAATCCTACACACAATTAAAACCAAGTTTTTGCGATAATTTATGCAAATATTTATCCCTTTAAACAACACATTTATATTCACTACATATGAGTACACAATACATATCGGGGGTTCACTATACGGGTCGTGGGAGTCATTAATCTTCGCGCAGAGACTTTCATTTACTTTAAAATTACAAAAAGTTTTTTATATTATTATTTATTTTACTTTTATTTGCAAAAAAAATAATAATAAGAAGAAAATGAGATTTTATTTTCAAACTCTCGAAGAGAAAGGGTTTGTATTATTATTATGTTTTTCTATGCATTTATTTTCTTGTGTATTATTTTAAACGATTATATATTTGTTAGTTTTTTCATTGAATTTTTTAAGCCAAAAATGTAATTGTTTTTTATAAGCGTTTAGTGTTTATAAATAAATTTTTTAATATCAAAATCCACAATAAAACAGCAATTTTACGTATGATTTACACCATAAAAGTGTATGTATTTTAGGGATGCAATTGAAATACAATGTGAAACAACACAATTGCCAAATGCCCTCTCAAATGGGTTTAAATAAAACTCATATACTTATGCATTGAGAGTATGCAAAAAAATTACTGATCGCCCGGTGCTCTTAATACCTGTGCTCTCCTTTCAAATTAATCACATTTTCAACAAACCATAAGTCCATAAGTCATATGCCGTATGAATAAATGAATGGCTCTTTGGATGCGCTTATTTTTTGAGGCCATAAACCAGTTGTGAATGAAATGCAAAAATTTCCAGAGAGAGAGAGAGAGAGAGAGAGAGAGAGAAATATTAGAGATATTTTAAGTTCACTAATGGCTCAAAAACATTTCACACATTCAAAGAGCACTTGACTTTCAACAGACAATCAAAAATTTTTTTAACAAAAATAGTTTTAAAAATACAATACATTTTCATTCGTACATAACTTTTATAACTTTATATACAATAAAACACATTTAATGTGTTATATCTGTGACGACAATTGAATTAACAAAAAATATGTTGTGATAATAGAAAAGGTAACTGTATTTTACCGTAAAGTTTTGTATTGGTTTTTGTTATTAATCATGAAAAATGTGTTCACATTTTTTCTGAAGATAACAGTTATTTAATGTCAAAAAACTTTTTAAACACTTATTGTTAATTTAGTAACGATTTTGAATGTTTCGCACAAATTGTATGGTTTTATTGTTTAAAAAGTTATTTTAAATAATGTGTGAATAAAAGCGTCAGAAAAATCATATCTCACACAAGAAAAGCCTTCACAACAGCGGAAAAAATACATTCAATAAAAACTTTTATCAAAAACTTTTTAAAGGTTTTAAACGAGAAATTAGTTTTCCAATGACTTTCGTTACGCCAAACGGTATGTAATAATATTTATAATGAAAATCGACAAAAAAAATTGTTAAATCTTTTTGGGAAATCATATTTCATAAACTTTTTCATACATTTTATGCATAATTAAGAGTCGATTCAAAAACGATATTTTCGGGGAAACGATATCCTAAAAAGTGAGAAAAAATAAAATAAAAATTTTGATTATTATTAAAAAGCATTTGAGTTTGTATTTAATGATAGCTAACTATTATCCATAAACTATACGCTCGGGTATCGTCTCAGGCCATGGACTGCAGGAGAGAGAGAGAGAGAGAGAGATTCCGTATACACACATAAA